TAGTGACAGTGAAAAAAATCGTCATCGTAGCATCCAGTTCTTCGTTGATGATCCTACCTTTGGCTTTGCTTGGTCATCGCGTCATCCTGAGCTCCAACCTCATAGTCTCCATCTTCCTGCTAGCTATCTTTGTTGATCAAGAAAGCTGGGAATCGTCATCGACAATGTCTACTGCAGCAGAGCTAAAAACGGCCAGGGCATCAGCCAAGCGTGCGGTCACCAAGCAGGCCAATCAGATAAGACAGTGTATTGCAGAAGATGATTTAACCCTAATTGATGATTACGTAGTCAAACTTAAGTACTTGTTTAGTGTTTTTACATCTGTTCACAATGATTACCAGGCCTTGCTTAGCGATGAAGATGATATTGAGGCTAGTGATACTTATTTTTGTAAGCAACAAGATGAATACATTTCTGTGCTTGGTTCAGTTAAAGGCCGTTCAAAAGGCGTTAAGTCTGAAGTTGATCACAAAGATTCTAGTTCATCTGAATCGAATTTGTATGGTGATCTTTCTCGAGAACAGTTTATGGGTTTGCTTAATTTACCCAAGGTTGAGTTGCAGGTATTTGATGGAAATCCCTTACATTACCATCAATTCCTTATGGCCTTTGAGGTCAATGTTGACAAAATGGGGGAAGGTAGTGATTTGAAATTAGCCAGACTCATGCAATATACATCGGGTCCGGCTAAAGAAGCTATTAGGGGGTGTCAGTTGATTGGGGGGACCGTAGGATATACTCAAGCACTTTCAATCTTGGAATCACGTTTCGGTAACAAACATCTTGTTACAGAGCGTCTTATTAAGGGGCTCAGATCAGGTAAGCAGTTGCGGCTTCCACATGAGATCCAGCAGTTAGCAGATGACATGAAAACTGCCTTGCTTACACTGACCCAATTGGATACCTTGGATGAGGTTAAATCTCAGTCATTTATACTTGATGTTGTAAGCAGACTGCCAAATTATGTTCAGTTAAGATGGAGGAAATCTGCCTTGAAATCCAAAAGGGCTAATGAATCCTATCCTAGTTTTAAAGACTTGGTAGATTTTGTGAGTAACATTGCTTGTGAGGTTAACGATCCTGTGTATGGTAACCTATATCCTAAGCGTTTTGATCGGTCAAGAGGTTCCAATCAGGGTGTTTCTCTTAACTCTTCAGTGTCGCGTCAGTCACAGCTTGATACTGGAGCTACCGGTACTGCAAAGCCTAGTCCGTCGAAGAGCGTCAAATCGTATGCCAAGCCAGAACCCCCATGTGTGTTATGTAGTCAAACTCATCGCTTGTGGCATTGTGATAAGTTCAAGCAAATGAGTCCCAGGCAGAGATTGAATATTGTTGTTGCTCATAAGCTTTGTCATAATTGTCTCCTAGCCTCACATAGCACCAATGATTGTGGTAAACGTTCGATTTGTGGTGTTCAGGGTTGCGGTAAGAAACATACAATGTACATACACTGTCCTGATACTGCACCTCCCGAGTCAAAGGTGTCCAATGCCAGCTTTTACGCTGACAAGGGAACTTGTATGCCCATAGTACAAGTGATTGTTAATGGTTCATGCAAAGTCTTGGCATTATTAGACAATGGGTCAAGTAATTCATTCTGTTCCCAGGGTTTGGTTGCCAAATTGGGTTTGGAGGGAATGCCTTCAGAGTTTCAGCTTAGTACCTTGAATATGTCTGGTGTTCATCAATCCAAAATTGTTGATTTGTCTGTTGCATCGGAAACCGGGGAGGCTTTGTGTATGAACCATGTTTGTGTTGTTGATAGCATACCTGTTAAAAGTGCACCTGTGGATGTTTCACTTTATGCCCACCTTGATGATGTAGGTTCAATGCCTGCTTATAAACATGATCATACAACTGTTGATTTACTTATTGGTCAGGACAATGCAGAAGCTCTTTTACCACTGGAGGTGAGACGTGGAAGCATGGGACAACCATTTGCTGTTCGAACCCTATTCGGATGGTGTTTGAATGGGCGTTCACCTGTCAACAGAGTCAGTCGCAAAGTAATTTCGAATTTTGTATCTTGCTTATCTACTGATGATGTTTCCAGATTGTGGAGAATTGAGAACGAGGGACTGGAGTCTTCTTCATGGTCACAAGAAGACAAGTTGGTGATAAGATTGTGGGACCAAGAGCATCGGAAGATAGATGGGCACTATGAGCTCCCCATTCCCTGGAGAGACAGGTCAGAGCCGCTACCGAATAACTTCCCGGTTGCCAAGTCGAGGTTAGATTCTTTACACAAACGTTTGGTTGAAAACGGGCTGTTTCCTAAATACAATGCAGAGATCGTCAAGTTGTTGACAAAAGGTTATGCTGAAAAGGTGCCCTCAGGTGAGATAGTAGGTGACAGAGTCTGGTACCTTCCACATCATGCGGTTACTACCGACAAGAAGCCAGGCAAAGTTAGGGTTGTCTATGACTGCGCATGTAAATTCAGAGGGAAGTCGCTCAATGAGCGCTGTCTACAGGGTCCTGATTTAATCAACAAACTGTTACCAGTTTTGTTACGTTTTAGACAACACAGTATAGCGATTCAAGCTGACATCGAAGCTATGTACAACCAAGTGAGGACACCCGCCAAAGACAGGGATGCACTCAGGTTCTTATGGTATGATGATGGACAGTTGGCTCACTACCGTATGACTTCTCACTTGTTTGGCGGCGTTTGGTGTGCTTCAAGTTCGACCTATGCCCTCAGCCGTACGGTCATTGATACCTCTAATGTTCACCCTTTGGTTAGATACACTGTCGACAGGTCATTTTATGTGGACGATTGTCTTAGCTCTGTGTCGTCAAAGGCCGATGCCAAGATCATCATCGCAGAAACTCCAAGAGTCCTGAGTGAAGGAGGGTTCACCTTGAGAAAATTTGTCGTCAATGATGCAGAATTGTTGAGTGAAGTATCAGAGGATTGTGTGGCCGAGGAAGTTCGTACACTGGGTCCTCTTTGTGAAAGTCGGGCGCTGGGCATAAAATGGAAGATATCTACTGATGAGTTCTTCTTCGAAGTTGGGCGTGACAAGGAGAGTCCTCTCACTAGAAAGAAGATGCTAAGTGCTGTGTCCTCTATATTTGACCCTCTTGGTCTTTTAGGCCCTGTGGTTCTCGCTGGAAAACTTTTGTTCCAAAAGGCTACAGCTGATAAATTGTCTTGGGACGAAGCGGTCCCATCACAGCTTGAAGACGCCTGGCGTACATGGGTGCAGTCATGTCATGCACTAAAAGAGATAAGAATTTCCCGTTGTTTCAAGCCATGTGATTTTGATGATGCTTTGATTGAACTTCATCATTTTTCGGATGCTAGCTCTAAGGCTTATGGTTGTTGTAGCTATATCAGATGCGTCAACAAATGTGGGATGATACATGTTCAGTTAGTTCTCAGTAAGAATAAAGTTGCTCCGTTGAAACTGTGTACCATTCCCCGTCTGGAGCTTCAAGCGGCGGTCTTAACTGCTAAGGTTGATGCATTTCTTAGAACTGAGTTGGATATTGATGTTACCTCATCATATTTTTGGACCGATTCAGAGATTGTTTT